GCCGGAGACCCGCATCCTTGGGGAAAACTTCAAACGTCGGGGACGTCCCGCCACCTTAGGGACAATTTCGAAAGAGGCCCTGGCGCCGCGCAATCGCAGCGTCTCAGGTTCGCGGCAGGGGCTGCCGCTTGCCCCCAGGGGACCCCCGGACGGCACCCAGACCGTTCCCACACGGCTCCCTGACCCGGTCCTCTCTCCACAGAGCCACACACTGCACCAGTCAGGCCGCACCGGCCTTCTGGCCGCGTCGGGCAGGAACCAGGGAGTACCCGCGACGGCGGGAGCCCGAGTGGGCCATCCACGCGCTGACCTCCTGAGGACAAGGCGGCCGCTTCCCTGCCCACCGTGGAGGGCCTTCCGTGCACGCGGAACCTCGCCTGCTGCGCGGGCTTGTTAACTTATTGGACTTATGTATTTATTTTGATGGTTATTTGTCGTCAAACCGTTCTGTCTTAATATTTTGTTTTTGCACCAGCATCTCATTCCAAATAAATGAGTTGATTTCTTTTTTTTTTTTTTTACCAGTGGCTGTGGCTCAGTTAAGTTCTTCGGGGAGGTTTGGGGATAGGGACACCCTCATCTAGTTTCGGTCTGGGGCCACTGTAGCCCCAGCTGGTCAGAAAAGGTATGGAAACCGGCTTTGAATGAATATCCACCGTCTTCTGCTGGACCAGGTCCACAGCCTCCCTAGAGGCGAGAAGTGCCCTGGGTGTGGCCTGGCTACTTTCTGCTCCTGGGTGTGGCTTGGGGAGGACATGGTTGGTGGCAGTGCTTGCTTGGGCAGTTCACTGGCTCTGGAGGGGAGGCCAGCGCACCTCCCCCAGACCTGAGCTTCTGCCAGTGGAGGTGGCTGTCCTCAACTCACCCACATACCACCTGTCCAGCGGCTGGCAGATCCGCTGGAAAGCCCTCTGTTCCCATGCGATTTTCTTGATCCCACCTCAGATTCTAGAGACCAGCTGCCAGCCTTGCTCACTGATTTTGGGCCAAGAAGAGAAGCTGGAACTGTCTGGGGGGGGCAAGCTGGCCCTGGACTGGGACCTGGGGTTGGAAGCCTGGGCTCACCAGACTCATCCCCTTTCCTGAGCTGCCTGCTAAGGCAGCAGCCTCTACTCTTCCCTGTCTGCATCTTGTGTAAGTTCAGGGACCCAGAAAATCTGTGACAGGTGCAAGAGGTGTGTCCCTCTCCCTGGCAAGGTCTACTGATGATGAAAAGACTAAAGAAGATAGAGTAAGAGGGAGCAGGACCTTGTGTGTGTACCTTTCATTCTAGGGCCCTTCTGGCTGGAGGGATATGCTCAGGAGGTAGAAAGAAGTGAGGATTAAAAACCATCACTGACCTCCACCCAAAGGCGACCATCACAAGCCTTCTAGCTGGGCCTCAGGGACCAGGATGGGGACTGGGACTGTTCCTTTGCTGGAGAGCCTGCAAAAGCCCTGGGTGCTGGATCCAGAGTGGACCTCTTTCCTTGTAAGGAAGAGTCTCCCATGTATTTATTTATGAAGCCCATCTGCAAATGGGGAAGGGGCGCCTCCAAAGAGCAGAAAAGACCAGTCAGGGACTGATGCACCTTGCCTACTCTGAGGACCTTTCCTAAAAAGTCCCACCTGGACAAATTTCCAAGGTCAAGAAGTGAGCCACTTGCCCTTGGCGGGGTTTAGGCAGACATAGGGTCTGTTCTGAGGTGTTAGGCCAGAAGTGTTGATCCATCTTGGATCTCTAGAGTGCCTCCCAGTTTGGGGACAATAGAATTCTGAGGTTTAGGGATTCCACGTTTTTTTTGTTTTTGTTTTTTTGTTATTTTTGGTGCTGGGGATCAAACTCAGGACCTTGGGCTTTCGAGACAGGCATAGTGCCACTTCTTTCAAAGGAAGTCAGTGTGGGGGTAGAAGGCTTGCATGGTCTCAGGGTATCACAAGTTTCTGCAGCCTGTCCATTGGTTAGTTCTCTCCAGATTGGCTACTCAGTCTATACAGCCGGGCTGGCGGCCCTGTGCCAGTACCTCTTCTCCAGGCAGCCCAAGGCTGGGGTGGGGGTGAGGAGCTGGAGTTGCCTCCCAGCTCTCAGGTCTTGTTGTGTTCCTGGCTCAGGGCTGGTGGCCAGGGGTGCCGGTCAGGGAGGGTCATGGGGAGATGGGCCAAGTCAGCATCCCTCGTGTAGGTCTGAGGCTGGGGGTAGTCAGGGTATAACGGGATTCCCTCAAACATCTCTTCAAGCCTTGCTTCCCTGATCTTTTAAACCAATCTGCTTAGGCTTATGGGTAGTGCATAGTGTATGCTGTAGAGAGCACCCATCTCCCGGGCTGTGTGTGAGCCTGTCTGGGTGTCGACAGAGGGATTCCTTGCTGACCAGGTTGGTGGAGTCAAGGGCTGACTAAAGCCAGGAAGACCTGCAGTGATTCTGTCATCCCTGGAGCTCTGCGGCCCAGCTGTAAGCCTCCTCCAGGAAGCCTTCCAGCCTGAAAGGCTCCATCTCTCATCCCCAGGCTTCCTGCCTACTCACAGGGGTAGCCTGGAGAAGTCAGGTCAGAAGAGTTCTCAAAGGTCTCGAGGGAGTTTATTGCCCATCTGAGCCCAGGGACTGTAGTCACTCAGCTTTGTCCCTGTTCCGGGACACAGGCTTCCTCCAGAGGAAAAGGAAGATGAGGAAGTTGACAGCAAGTTGCACATGGCCGAAGATGGGGACGCCGAAGCTTCGGTATAGAAGGCCACCTATAGTGGGCCCCACGGTGCGGGTCAGCGGCTGCACAGAGGCACAGAGGCCCAGCATGGTCCCTGGAGGGAAGATGGTGACAGTCAGGCATCCAATGCCTAGACAACCTGGCCTCCCATCCTTGTCCCACACATCACAGCCCAGTGTCTGAGTTTCCTGGTTGGCCTGAGATACCCCCAAAGTACCCCATCTACCCACTGTTCCTCATCTTGTGCTTCACCCCTGCCTTTGGGGGGGTCCCTCCACCTATAGGTAGGTTCTTGGGTGGTCCCTGGGGACAACTCAGCCACACAGAGGACCCTGTAGTGCTTCTCCAGGTGTGGGGCTGAGCTTTCCTGCTCCAGAAAGTTCCCAAGCATGGGAGGAGCCTGGGAATGGGGCCACAGGTTGGTGCAGGCCCCACCCTCTCAGGCCTGCCAAGGGAGATGGCATCTGCACCTGGGGCCAAGAGCCACCCGCCCCGGACATCCGGGGAGGTGGCTCTCCCGGCTCCTTGCCAGAGTCTGCAGCGCTGAGGACCCAGGGGCTGGAGCTATTAGACATGGCCCATTGGTGCCTGGGAGGGAAGAGAGGGTCTGGCTGGGGAGTCCTGTGAGCCACTATGGGGCTCTGGGCTGGAATTATAGGAGGACACAACAGCCTTAGTGCCACCCCAACAGCCTGTCCCGGCCACAGACTCTCTTCCAGCCACCTTTGCCCCAGAGACCCAATGGAACCCCTACAAGCCAGGGAAGGGGGTTTAAGGAACACAGGAAGGGTCCCCACCTGCCTCTCCTGTAGCCCTAGAGAGATTGCACCCCTTTTCCAGCTCACCCTGCTGTGGGTGCCCACCTGCACATGTAAGCACTTTGCCTGATGGCCCGGGTCTCCACACCTCTGGCCAGCTGTCCCAGGGTCGACTTGCTTGTGTGTGGTTGTTGTCAATCTTTGGGCAGCATGGAGGGCAGCATTCACTAAGCCAAAGCCCCCTCTTCTAGGTCCCCAGACGGGAAGATACCCTTTGCCTGATGCCCAAGCCCCCAAGATCTGCTCCCCATGGCCTGGGAGGTCTCTGGCTCTCAGGCTTTGGAGCCTGGGGCTCTCTAAAGCTCAACAGGGACAAGTGCTTGGGAGGCTCCGCCCACACTCAGGGCTGGCGTGGGGAAACTTAGGAGCAGCCTCTCCCACTGCCCACACGCCTGCAGACAAGGGCAATTACCGCCTCCTCCCTGGCTCTGCTTCCCAGGCTACTGCCCAGTCAGGTACTGCTCCGGTGCCTAGGGCATGCCTGGCCCTGGTGGCCTGGTCTGCTCCTCCCTACCAGACCCACTCTCCTCTCTGAAGGCCTTAATCCTCTGCTCCCTCCAACTAGTCTCTCTGAAGTGCAGGCTTCCTCCTCCAGGAAGCATTCTGGGCCCAGCTATCTGGAGACCAGCTACCCTAGCACCATGGCATCACAGGCTTGGAAGGACTTCAGGGCCTCAGCAGCCCCAAGGAAAGGCCTTCCCCTTCCTGCCTGTCCCGGGATGGCAGGTGGACGAGAGGCCAACCTGGCCCCCTGAGTGTTCTGGCCCTGCTGCTGCAGGTCTGGGCCAAGCTCTGAGTCCTTTGAACTTATGCATCCCACAGGAGCTCTTGACCCAGCCAGTATGCACCTGCGCCTTGGGAGGAAGCAGGATCAGGGCACCCCTAGTCTGGGTGGGGGCTCTCCTAGGCCTCCAGAAGAAAGCTGGGGAGTCCCAAAGCCCTCAGACAGTGTGTCTTCGTGCCCTCATTCCAGGAGCTCTGAGCACTTGTGAGAGGGGGGAGGGGAAGCCTAGCCCAAATGGGCTGAGGCCTTGCCCATTTCTCTGTCCTCCCAACCGGCCTTGCCAGGACCCGCCACATCCACACCTGTACTAAGCAGGCCCTGCCTAGAATGCTATCCAGCTCTCTTAGCAAAATCTTGTCCAAAGGTCACAGCCAAGCCACACTCCGGTCCCCAGTGCTCTCCTCTCCTGCCCTACCTAGTCCTAGACTGGGTGGTTGGCAAGAATGCCAGGCTATTCAACCCCTGTGTATCCACTGGGCAGCTCAGCAGAATCCCGCAGAGGAAGGCATGGCACTCACCAGTGTCTGCGGCTGAGACGGCCTTGGTCAGCATGCTGTCGGTGACCACGTTGAGCACACAGAGACTGAACACCAGGCCGGGCATCAGGAAGCAGAAGTGGAGGATGTTGGACATCAGTGCCTGGCAGGGGGCAAGGAGGAGGGCCACACTTGGCAGGGGCCACCCAGGGCCAGGATGGGGCCCGTGCAGAAGCCCCATCTATTCCCCCTCACCGTGGCCACACTGGTACAGGTAGCTAGGACAGGGGAGAAGGGAGACAGGGACTACTCCTCTGTGGGGACCAACTGAGGTGTCGAGCACTCACCATGCCTAGTCCCACCATGATGAAGACAAGCACGCTAGCTCGGAGCAGTGCTCCCTCTGAGAAGTGTCGGCTCAGCCGCCCGATGACCAGGCCCTGGGTCACCTAGGCAGAGTGAGGAGATGAGGTGGCTGTGGGGGACACTGGGGATCTGGACTATGACTCACTCTTTCACAGTGGCAGGAACTCTAGACTGGTGGGACCTT